GAGATTTTATAGCCAGGCTTCTTGTTACACGAACCTGCAGTCGCGCATAGGACACCTTATCTACCGCCACTAAACACAGAGAGATAGGGCGCCCTGCCCAAAACCACTCTCGCGACCCCACTCCTCTCTCGTACGCCTTCCTCACGCAGACACCATTCACATGAATCAGACATCATCGTCAGTTCATCTCGTTGCGGAACACTCCCCTGCGCTCGCTCAGTCGCCTGTGTCACACGATGATGCATCCACGCATTCAATAACACGATCGGTGGAGGATACGGCACACCTCCAAATCCCGGCAACCAACGGCGGTGCCGCGCCCATCACTAGCCTGTCAAGTCTCTCCCCCACGACGTCAAATTCGGGCGCAGCTGCAGCTAAAGAGCCTGCAAAGAAGGGCAAAATGACGCACCGTCTGACGCGAATGTTTTCTCGGACCGACCCCAAAGACGTCGAGGCCGCCGCCAAAGTTGCAGCTGAAATAAAGGAAACCTCTCCCGACGCTCGTCTAGAAAACGGCCACCCACCCAACGGCAGACCACCCCCCGGTAGACAAGGCTCAACTGACGAGAAAAGCGTCCGCAAGATGACTATACTCGGCGCTGCAAAAGAGAAGACCAAAGGCGAGCCGCCGTCAGATCCCACCAGTGCTCTACATAAACGATTCGAGATGCACGATGACGGCTCTCATGCACACTTTCTCAAGTCTGCCAAACGGCAGGAAAAATTGTCCGACATGCTCCGCGACATGCTCGGTGGTGGCAAGAAGAAGGATCAGGATGGCGCGGGTGACCAACAACTGACACTGATGTCGTCTTGGGTTGACCAACTCAGATCGGAGAAGGATAGCCTTGCGTCGGACAAGAAGGGCGGCCCCAATGCCACGGCCAACTTGGTCGAAAAATATGGCAAATGCCAGGAAATTGTTGGCCGCGGCGCTTTCGGCATCGTCAGAATCTCTCACAAACCAGACCCTAATAGTGCTGGAGGAGAATTGCTCTACGCCGTCAAGGAGTTCCGCCGCCGCCCGCAAGAAACGGCCAAAAAGTATCAGAAACGCTTGACCAGCGAGTTCTGCATCTCCTCTTCACTCCGCCATCCTAACATCATCCACACCCTTGATCTCCTACAAGATGCAAAAGGGGACTACTGCGAAGTCATGGAATATTGTGCTGGCGGAGATCTCTACACACTGATTCTGGCCGCCGGTACTCTCCAAGTCCCCGAAGCAGACTGCTTCTTCAAGCAATTGATGCGTGGCGTCGAGTACATGCACGAGATGGGAGTGGCGCATCGCGATCTAAAACCCGAGAATCTTCTCTTGACCACCCACGGCGCCCTCAAAATCACCGACTTTGGCAATGGCGAATGTTTCCGGATGGCTTGGGAGAAAGAAGCCCATATGACGGCTGGGCTCTGTGGCAGCGCTCCGTACATTGCCCCAGAAGAATACGGCGGTGGCGAATTTGATCCCCGGGCTGTGGATGTGTGGGCGTGCGGTGTCATCTACATGGCCATGCGGACTGGGCGGCATCTCTGGCGAGTGGCCCGCAAGGAAGAGGACGAATTCTATCAGAGATATCTTGAAGGACGGAAAGATGAAGAGGGATATGCCCCAATCGAGACCTTGCACAGGGTAAGCATTTCCCGAGAATCTGGTTTGAAGGGTTTGACTGACTTTGATTCATCTAGGCTCGTTGCAGAAACGTCATCTACTCGATCCTCGACCCGAATCCTGGCCGCCGCATCACCGCATCGCAAGTCCTCAAATCCGAATGGGGCAGAGAGATCAAGGTGTGCAAGGCAGGCGAAGAAGGCTTTTAAGGCCTCGTTTTCTTCTGTTCTCTGGCATGATGATGCACTCGCAAGGCGCTTCTGCATCCGCCGCGCATCTACATGATTAATTTCAACGTCTCGTGATTCAGCCACGAGCATGACCTTGACGAAGTGATGATTGGAACAATTTTTTCACAGTGAGCCAAAAGACCAGCGTCTTTATCAGTTTTTGTTTGGGTCTTTTTTCCCCCACCAGCTTCGAGATTACGACAATGCTCAGACGAAAGACTTGGGAGGATGGCGATTACATATTGGTGGTTTGGGATAGCAACGAAGGGGCAAAAAGAAGGCATTTTAATTGTTTCCCTCGATGGCGGATGTGTTCTCGATTGTCGACCTATTCTGGTCACCCGGAACCAGCGAACCCGCAGAAAAGCGAGCCGACTCCTGTAACAACATGCAGAGATGGTATACCTAGCATACAAGCCTGGTTGCCAGTGCGAGGCCAGGTACTGATACCCAGCATTTTGCCGGCCTTGGATCTCTCTATATACCAACGCTTCAACCTCCGCCCCGGGCAACGCCGACCGATACACTGTACCACAACTTTAGGGGATGCTGTTTTGATAAAATCCGGTCATTTTTGGGGTTTGGATATTTTACCGCTAAAGGAGAGTATTCTGTTCTTTGAGCCAAATGAAATGAAGCAAGATGTTATTGTGTGCTCTGGCGTGCAATCACGGATTGTGAGGCTTCCTCCCATGAGCCTCCTGATGTGACGACGAGCAGCAGGTCGCAGTTCCGGGCGTATGTTCCACATCGATGCATCTGCATGTCACCGGCGAGGATGAGATCCGATCTGTTGTCTCGGCTGAGCCCAACATGTAGAGCCACAACCCAAGACCCAGCAAGGCAGTGCATTGATCTTCATCCGGTCCTGCTTTTTGCCTGCACAGTACCTGCATAGCCCGGCACCACCACCGGGAAGCACCGTGGATTAAGTCAGATTGCATACATACTCGGTTGCTCGGTTGCCTTTTGCGTGGGTTACTAAGTCTTGCCTCATGCGAACCTGCTTGCCTGCTTGGTTGGGTTGGTTGAGGCTTTTCTTTTTCTCTCTGGTTATCCGGTCGATCCTTCGTCAGTGTCAATGGACGATCGATGGATGGGTGGTTAGACTGATCGATGGATGAACTTGTTCCACACGAGAATGAAGGGTGATATTTCGGCCCCTTTTTTCTCTGACCTCACCTCACCTCACCTCACATTGCCGTGCCTGGTGGTGCTGCGTGCTCATCCAAGCCTGACAACCGTAGATGTTGTAGACGTCATTTCTTCTTTTTTTCCCAATCTGCCACCACCACCACCACCACCACTGGCAGGATGCTGATGATACCCATGCCATGAATTACAGATCAGCCGCTCAGCCGCTCAGTATGCATGCATACATGCATGTATGTACATACCTACTCAAATACTTACGTAGGTACACTAGTATGAGGACTTTGGTACCAAGCCAGGTTTGCCAGGCAACCAGGGTCTGTACTCGGTACGTATCTAGGAATCACTTCGCGTCAACGGAATGTCGGAATGTACCGAGAACAAGTACAACTACACGAGTTATTTTCTTTCTTTGGTCACGTTAGTCTCCCTCTCTCTCTCACTCACGCACGCATGCACACATCCTTGCATTCTTTGTATCCTTGTCTGCATGAAAGCATTCATCCACTCATCCAGTCAGTCATCCATAGCGCTTTACTTGCTCTTCTCTATTCCATAATCCATTTTACTCCCCCTTGCCCTGTCTAGCAGCTTAGCAGCCGCTCAGTCCCGCCCCGAAACCGTTGGAGAAGGTTCGGTCCGGCAGGATGATGTGTTATCCCCTGCGTCTGATGCTGCATCGTGTTGTCTTGTGTTGTCTTGTGCTGGGTTGGTCCTGGGATCGGGGGAGGGGTGGTTTGTATCTGCTAGGGCGATAGGGGTAGGAATGGGGATTGGAATGGGATCGGGACCGGGGATAGGACGTGAGATAAGTGAGACGAGACGAGACGAGACGAGACGAGGTGAGATGAGCTGAGCTGAGATGACTCAAGACTTGAGACTCAATATGCTGGTCAGCAGGCCCAGAGGAGAAAGGAGTTGGGAGTTAGATGACTCTTTTGGCCCAGGTATTCGTTCTCGCGTGGTACATGTGATCAGAGGTGGTTCGTCCTCGTACTGTAGTAGAGGTATAGTAGGGAGATTGTACATTGTACATGAGGAGGTGAGGTAGACTGTGTCAAGAGGGCGATGGATAAGAAGAACGGCGAGCGGAGGATATGGACCGCAGGGAGAGAGGCACGTAGCTAAGGAGGGAGTCAAGAGTCAAGAGGTGATTATCACAACGGTACTGACTACATACACTTCTAACCACAGTACCAGTACCAGGCACAAATCGACCGAGCAGGCACAATGACACAACGAGCAGATACTGTAGGTGCTGTTGGTAATGCTACCTCAAGATACCAACCGATCGTAAAATCCAAGCAGCACAACCAGCAAGACTCCAAAGCATTGAATATGCCAGCCAGCACCACTTGATGCCACTGTCGCCGCCACGAGGGCATCTCCCAGATCGTAGCCAGCCAGATGATCCAGTTATCGTTCGCATAGAAACTCCATAACATGTGTGTGTCTCACAAAGCTTTTCTTTTAGAACTCTTTTACCAACCAGACAAGACCCAAAAAGCACACCGACCGCCTCACCAGCCCCTGCAGAGCGTGTATCGACTTGGTCCTCGTTTAAGTACAGATAAGACAACGCGTTTCCATGACCGAAAGTGCATTCGTCAATCAAGCCAATAGGAAAATCGTTGCGCTGGGACTTGTTGTACGTCTTGATTGTCCCGGCCTGGATGCTGTACCTTTCTCCTTGCAGAGTAGTCAGCCTTGCCACAGAGACACCCTCTCCCTTTTTCTGCGTGCCTCGGATTATGGCTGTGGGAATGCAGCCATCAAAACCTGGTAGCGCAAGGAATGCGGGTCGTATCAACATCTCTGAAGTGCCTCTGATTGAGAATGCCCTGGGTCCGAATCTCCCCAAGAATGTGGATTGCGGGTTGGCGTCTCTGTTGTATTATCAATGCCGAAAGGGCATGCACTTCGTCAAGCAAATCAACTAGAGTCGTAATAATGGAAGTCCCGATTCGCCAAACACCTTTCAGGGAGTCGCAGCAGCGAACCTTTTACTCGCTGTCATCACTGTCATCTTTCTTCACCCCGCTCTCGCGCTTCTTCTCCTTCTTCTCCTTCTTTTCCTTTTTCCTGCGTTTCCGCTCAGCTTTCTCTTCGGGCGTCTCACCTTCGTGTTTGCTCTTGCGCTTCTTGTCCTTTTCTTCTTTCTTGATTTTTGGGGTCGACTCGCCGTTTGTCGTTGCAGGCTCTGCTGCTGCTTTCTCATCGAGGTCCATTTGACTACCAGCCTCACCATTCGGGGCAACAGGTGGGGCGGAAAGGACATCGGCTCTGGACGTGGTCTCCCCGACGGGGGCGGATTTGGTGCCCTCTGCATTGGCGGAGGCGCTGTAGTCGGTGTACTCAGCATTCCATTTCGCCGGAGTGTTTTCATTTGGTCGGCCATATTTCTGTGGTAACACGTTAGCACCAAAGCGGAGGCGAGGAAGTGGAGAAGATCATACATCAAGTTTTCCATCAGACTTCATCTTCTTTTTCTCGAGCGCCACAGGCCCCATACCCCATCGCCGCGGGTACAGATCCCTCTCCATGATGCACCGCTTAACTTTGGCAACGACACCATGGTCACAGGTAGACAACTCGACGGTTGACATCAACGCAATGCCAAGAGCGATTGCCTCGCCTTTCGTCGTCATTAGCACAACCTCTTCGTGGACCTCGATACCAGCCTCAAATCGCAGTAAACCGGGAATCATCAATTTGGCGCCATAGCAGACAGCGTTGACCGCGCTGTCCTTTACAACAATTCTCTTGTATGTCGTCAACAGACTCTCAAGCGGCGAGATCACCCTGCGCAGATACGACTCGTCTCGGTTGTTGTCCATCATCCATTGCGCATCGAGAACGTCGTGCAACGTCACCATCCCATCGCTCTCGGCCATAGCTCCACTCCTTACTCTCCGCAATTCCTGCATGTGCGCACCGACACCCAGCAGCAATCCCAGGTGTACGCAGAGAGTTCTGATGTAGGTTCCAGCTTCGCAACTGACCCAGAAAACGCCAAGATGCCGGTCATTGTCGAATTCGTACAGCTTGCTCTCGTGGATGGTTCGGATGCGGAGCTGTCGCTTGACTGCAGAAATGAGGGGAGGTCGTTGAAACAGAGCACCCGTCAGTGTTTCGAGTGCTCGAGCAAACTGTGCTTCTCCTCCAGGCAATTTGTCGTGTAGTCGGATAACGCAGACGTATTCTTTTCCAGCACCTTGTTGCGATTTCACCAATCTAGTAGCTCGGTCGATACAGACAATCAAGCATCCCGTCACTTTGGGGTCAAGTGTTCCGCTGTGGCCGGTTTTCTCTACTCGTAATATGCGCTTGACCCAAGCGACGACTTCGTGGCTGGAGGGGTTTGAAGGCTTATCGAGATTGATGACGCCGGAAGAGATGTAGGATTTAAGATCGCGTTTCAATGGGGTGCAACCAACAGGAATCGGCGTGAAATGGCCCGTTCGAACCAATACTAGAATTGTCACGTTAATTGGAGCTCCGAGGGTCATGACCTTGGGGACTTGCGTTGATCATAGTTCTTCAACAGCAGCGGCCACTCAGAAGTAGGGATCTGAGGCGTGATGTTCTCTGGTTTGATGCTGAAATCAGCCTCCGCGACCTTTGCCATGTTGGAGGTCCTGCGTTCGCCCAGATTGAGATTTGCCGTGCGCAGTTATCTTTGTAGAGCTCTCGGGGAGCTAAGAGATGGCTCAATGAGATACAGCGGGAGCAACTCCCAATTAGAAATGCTTTGTATTGCTGCAGATAGTGGTGTGGGAGTATGTTACGCAATACTAAAAAAATATCTTTATTCTTTGCGACCACAGGACGAAAGAAATGGAGTCGAGCAAAATCTTGAACGGCGTGTCGGTGCGGAGAGAAAACTAGTCATGATACGGACTAGTGATGGACAAAGGCTTGGCGCTATCAAAGCCTCGAAATATTTTCAGGCAACATTCCTAGTACGACACTCTGTCCAATTCCCATCATATATAAACAACCCCATTCTGCTCATGTCTTGAGAGACTCTCTGGGCTGTCGTTGTTTCTTCTCACCTCGCATCTAAAATGAGCGGCGGCGGCGTCGACATCATGGACAGATTCTGGAGTACCCCTCCAGTCACTCGGTCGGCGAACCCCCTCCATCTTCTGCTTTATAGCTTCAGTACATCTAACAATCTCAAAGGACCATTGTGGCAGCAATGTTTGTCGAATCTGCACTGGTCCACTCAGGTCTGGTCTCGGGCATGCGGATCGTCTATCATACGCCATGGTTATTCAAGTTTCCTCCTGAGCTTTGGCGGCTACTTTCCTCCTTCCTCTTGACAGGTGGTGGCTTTTCCTTTGTGTTCGACCTCTATTTCAGTGAGTTGCATTTTTCCTATCGTTGAACCGTCTCTGACTCCACCAGTGTACACATACGCTTCGGGCCTAGAATTGAACTCTCCTCGATTCACCCAACCGGGCGACTTTTTCACCTATATCTTTTTCGTGGCAACTGCCATACTGGTCAGTCATCTAGTCTTTCCTCCCTCATCTTCCCGTTCCCCACGAATTCGACACCTCGCATATCTGCCCGCCCAGTCATTTTCCTAGCTGAAGCGGTTCCTGGAAACGAGGGAGATTACCCCTGTGGCACATAAAGCTCCCGTCATTCGCAAATCTGTCAATAGGACTTTATGCGGCACAGGCATGGTGGTGGCTCCATTGAGAAAGCTGTTCGTGAAAAATCAATTTGCGTGTGGCGGTTTAGGCTTCCTACAACCCAACAAACTATCCCTGAATTTTTATTCTGCCCCCAAAGCAGTGTACAATATTGGTCTGCTGACTTGGGATCAGGCATCTGGAGGGCTTATCCTCGGTGGCCACGTCTTTACTCAAGCCCTCCTTCTCGCGCTCATCTATACCTTCGCGCAAGATAACAGGGGCAAGAAGGCACATTTCATCATACTTCAAATACCCGTCGAGCTGCTCCCATGGGCTATGCTCACGCTGACCCTGATCATGGGCGGGCCTCAAGCTGCCCTGCAACAAGCCACAGGCGTCTTTGCCGCCCATCTTTACGACTTTCTGACGAGGCTGTATCCGACTTTCCAGGGTGGCAGAAATTACATACAGACTCCAGCTGCAGTCAGGAGGTATTTTGGCGCAGATAGAAGCTCATTCACTCACAAAGCTTATGGGACGAGCTTCAGACCTGGGCAACCCGTTCCCCAGCAGCAGAGTCGCGGTTGGACTAGTGGCTTCTCAAACTCTTGGAGTGGTAGGGGCGCCGGCCGGCGACTGGGTGGCGACTGAAGGACCTTTGCCCGGCGATATATTGTGCACAACCTGTATAACAGCACTTGATGAGACATGAGATACCCAACCAACCAGACATTCCCCATCATCAGAACCATCCTGCCATCCTACTGTCGCCCTTCACAAAGGGATCCCTTTGCCAAGACTAACCTGCAGCTGAAACATGTCCGACTTCAGGGGTCTCTCCACATGGAATCCACAGCCTTGTCTTTTGCACGGGTTTCATACGCTTTCTGTCTCATGGCTCCAGTGTTTCTGGTCAACCTTTTCCCATATTCTCGATGCGTCCATTGTGACTCGCTCCAACCAAGAAGGATCTGCCACATCACATGCTCCAAAGTTCGTTTGCCGAGGACGAGCTGCGTCTCGAAGCATATTGGGAAACACTGTCCAGACAATGCTTGAGCCAGACCTCTCGCTTGTGCTGACTCTGGCTTGAACGCGCAAGCATGTCTATCGGAGGGAGCTTCCGAATCAACAAAAGCCATGTATTTCGAGGCCGTGCGTTCAGTGATGCTCAGTTACGCCCGCCATGGTGACCGTTATTCCCTGTCACCAACCCACAGTCTCGGTGCTGCGAATGCAAGAGAATTGTGGTTCTCGAGTATCAAGCTGTGGATATGCATCCCAAAGACTGGGTCGTGGCAATGGCAAAAGGAAGAGGAGGAAAAGTCTGATTTTTTTGACTTCTCGATATATATGAAAGCCTTCTCTCTCCCTCTCCCTCGCCTTTTCTCCCTTACTATCTCAACATTACCCGTGCCCTTTCCCCTCTTTTCGCATTTTCACAGTATAGCAGGCAGGTCCTGCTGCCACTTCGCTTTCATTTCGCTCACAAGAGCTTTTTGCATTCCTTTGGTCCCCCATCTGGCCCGAGACTCTCACGCTCTTACGCACTTAAGAGACAACAGGTTGTCCTTTCTTTTCGAATTTAACACGACAATGGGCCGGTTCCTCATCTTTTCTTCTCTCAGCGTCTGCTTGTTGCTCTTGCCTGGTGTCCTTGCTGGCCTGGAACCACGGCACAACCTCCCATCGTTGGCACTCGCAGCGGGTCTTTTAGTCCCGAGTTTCTTTGCCCGAGGCGTCTCTGGCTATGTCTTGCCAGTGACTCCGTCGAGACAGGAGTTGGCATGGAGACGTGACTCCCTTGTCCCGCGGAAGCACAGAGGCAACGGCCGCAATGGTAACGGCGGTGGCGACGGTGCCGCTGCTGCTGCTGCCGGTGCCAATGGGACAGATACTCAAGCTACCGCTGATGCTGTTGCTGCCAACGGGACAGATAGTCAAGTTACCGTTGATGCCGCTGCTGCCTGCATGGCTGCGGCCATGGAAGCTGCAGTCAATCAGACCGGTGTGGCCAACGTCACCGAGGCCGTGGCTGCGAGCAACACCACCATGTCCGCGATCGCGAGCGCCTGTGCCGGCAACTCGACGGACCTAGTCCAGGCCGTGTCTGCGGCGACCAACGTGACGGCGGCGACAGCCAACGTCACGAGCGACGCAGCCGCAAGCAACGCCACAGTCGATGCTACGGACTCGGCAAGCAACTCCTCGTCGACTGATACCGGGACCGGCAACAACAATGGCAATGGCAACGGTAACGGTAACGGTAGCGGCAGAGGTCAAGGCAGAACCAGCAATAGCGACAACGGGAACGGCAACAGCAATAGCAACAATAACAACAACAATAACCCCATCACCGAAGCCATCGACGACGCACTGCAACTCATCGACTCCATCGTCAACAAGCGCAGCGCCGCCGCCATCGCCTCCAGCGAGAAAACCAAGCGCGACACCAAATACCGTGAGAGCGTGGTGCGCAAGAAATGGGCCGCCGGCCTCGACGAGAGGGCGTTTTGAGTGGGCAATTTTCCATGCATGTCCCTGCCCTGCCATCCAGGTATACATACATACGTACATACCTTTGTAGGGTGGGTGCAGCGTGTCGTAACGAATCTCCACAGATAGGTGGGAGACTGGGTATCAAGGAAGAGATCGGGGTATTTGAATCCTGAGACCTGGGGAGAAAAAGAGAAGACGACAAATCATTTTGTGAAATCATCATCACAAGGTGGTGCTACACACTCATTCAGTCGAGCGAAAAAAGAATGGCATCAATGTATCAGTATCGAACAGAGGGAAAGGGATTGGATTGGATTGACAAAAAACGAAATTGGCGGGAAAAAGGTCTTGCCAAACTGAAATGAAAGGAAATGAAATAACATGCAATGACATAGGAATGGGAGAAATGTACCCAGAACCAAAAACCCAAAAATCAAGATAGACTCCAGAGAGGTAGGAAAGGCAGGGAGGGAACGACAAATCCATAGACCCAACGGAAAAGAAAGTTTGTACGAACAGGGACCAGATAATCAAGTGAATCATTTCTTGTTTGGCGAGGTCCAGAGGAAGCTCGTCTTACTCCTTGTCACCAGCTTGCCTAGTACAATTGGGTGTGCCATGTGGAATCTCCATGAATGTTGGGCTCTGCCCTGATGGGAATATCATTGTAGAGAATCTCACCGAATTGCTCTTCGTATCCTTTCCTTTTGTCTGTATCCATGCATCGGGGTATGTCTGTATCCATGAATGCATCCCTGCGAATGTTGAAAACTGTTGAAGCAGTGACTGAAAAAACATGAACGACCCCTTCGCTATGCAAACCATGATTATTCGCTTGTCGCGCAGCTGGTGAAACAGGACGAGTGTGGTAGCGACTTCCGGTCCCAAGTTGCCAATCTCGGTCTTGGTTTGTCCCATACCGGTATCATCGAACCGAATCCTCAATTAATGGTGACTCGCAAAAGGTATCGTAGCCGGATCTGAGCCACGTCGTAGACGATGTATTCGTTGTACAAAAGTTGTGCACAAGGCTCGTTAGTTGGACTGGGCGGATAATTGACAACATCCGGCATCTTCACTCCTTTCAGGCTCGGATGCACGCAGCTAGCATCCTTCCACACACGAGGGCTGGTTCGACCAACACCCCAGGTGGAAAGGTGGCCATACAACTTGACACGATCCTCGGCATTGTAATCGGCCTGCGTGAGTTTGAGAGAGGGATTTCCCAGTTCAGCCTCGCAAAGCAGGAGTAACCCAGTTCCCGCACTGTTGTATGTTGCACAATAGCCAGCGCTCTTTGAGCTCATATCTGCAAGATACACTCCTTTGCCAAACATGTACCCTGATACAGGGGCTTCTGGTGG